TACTATTTGAACCGTCCCGTACCTATTCCGTCCCGTACCGCAGTGTCTCCATTCAGAGCCATATAAGATACGAAAGATATAGAAGGCAACAAAGTAATTGAGTTTCTAAAGTCATGAGGAACTCCTGCGAAATTGTTGAAAGAATCACTTCAAGTGATGGTTGATAAGAAGACTTGAAAATCCGAGACCAAATGAAGATGTGTCTCCGTTGTTGACATTGAGGCGATGGCTGCAACTATGGCTAGAGCTTCCATGAGTAACCGAATTTGAACTCTAAACTTAAGTCCAAAATTTTCTTCTCTGCTATAAAACAATTTTCATAAAAAATGAATTTTAATAAAACATCACTCCATAAAGGAGTAAACATAGCAACAGTTGTCCAAACATAAACAAGGCAATCGAGTGAAAAAACCCTTAACAAACATCAAGGAATTTGTGAACAAAACTCATGAATTAGAGACTCTACCGATAAAAGTAGAATTGATTTTCAACTACAAAATTTGCATATCTTTTTGGTACTTTAAATTTGGGTAATTGTCAATAATTAAATAATTAAATTATCTGAGATCAAACAGTCGGTTTGGGACATTTTTTTACCTAGTCTTTTAATCGGAACCAATATAGACCGAAATGTAAAAATTGTGGATAAAAAGGGGTTTTTGTCCGTAAACGAAGAATTTGTCCGGTTCAAAAACTTTACAAATATGTTCTGATTTTTACACTGTAGTATGTTCCGATTGACAATGCATTTGACCTTAATTAGCCAAATGGACCTACGCGGCGAAAAGAAAGAATGCCACAAAGAGTAATAGTCTTAATTTGTGTTGTTACTGGTCCATATCACTCGATGAAAAATAGAGGCTCCAGTCTACCGATTCATTGGCCATATCAACCATAAGATTGTTGCATTCGTTTAAAAGTCAAACCGATTTTTCAGATTTTGCTAATGTGATTATGACACTATGACGCTTGCATGGCATCACACCATGTTTACGTGCACTAATATCAGTTTTTAAGTGTTTTGGGTTGTGCAATCAGAGAAATGATGACTAGACACACTGATCCTTTTCATTTTATTGAATTATTTTAGAATAATTATAATTGTAACTTGTGAGAGATTTGCACTTCTCCCCATTGCTTTCGTCAACATAAATACCACAAGAAATTAAGTCTTACACTCCTTTATAAGGAACTAATATATTTTAATTTATTTGTGTGAAAGATTTCTAAACTTTTTTTAGATTTCTATGATGAAGCTTAGTTTTAAATGATTTATAGACTAAATGCTATAAAGCATCCAAGTAAGATATAAGAATTAGTGTGATATCAATAATCAGCAAATATGTACGTACTGTTATAAAGTTATAATGATTTAGAATCCATTTCTAATTCTTTATTTGTGGCTACAATGATAATTCTCTTGGGTCAACAATATGAATGTTAAGGTTAAAAAAAAAAAAAAACAATATGAATGTCAAACAAACCGCTAAAGTGTAACCTTCATGCATGTTATAGATCTCAGTCAATAATTCACATCATAAAACACTCTTGTAATTACGTATACAACCTCTCTTGTTTTTCTTTATTTTATTAATTAACAAGTACTTTACTTTTGTATACAATACTTATCCAGTGATTTAAATTGGATTCAACTAATTTTTCGTCCTCCTGACATTTTCATACTTTGAAAAAAAAAAATGTTAGTTCTGTCTAGATGACTAGATTTTTAGACCTGCGTCAAATGCGGAATTAGAATAATTAAAAATGAAAAATCATAAATTTTTATAATATAGATGAAAAAGTGGAACCTACAAAAATAAAATGACATATCTCCCATATATAAAAATATTTTATCTTACATAATTTTAATCTGTATGGTACTTAGATTGAATCTAAACATTTTTTTAATGTAAATCGAATACGTTTGAGATTATGTGTTCTTTCAAATTATTTGAGTTCACAAAAAATATTGCGTTAGTATGTAAATCTTCTT